GCGCGCGCGCATGCGCGTGCCTTCTGCAAAAACTGACCAGAATTTCATTTCCCACACAGGATTAATAATACAACACAAGCCTCTGTTCCCCCTTTAATGTGGTAGAAACATGCATTTTTAACAGCAGTTCAAAAAATGCAACACCTAAGAATGCATGCATGATTAAACTTTAACGAGTGAGAAAAAAATGTACTCTGAGTTTTGATATTATAAGAAAAGTAGCATTGGATACATGTACTGAAGAAGTATTAGGAAGGAAGGAAGGAAGGAAGGAAGGAAGGAAGGAAGGAAGGAAGGAAGGGGGGGGAGGGAGAGAGGAAGGGAGGAAGGAAACTAGGTGTTTGCAAGTTTCCTTAGTCCCAACTGTTTTCTATCAATTTGGAGTCAAGGTAACCAGATATCTAGGAGTTTCTTCGAAAGCTTACTAGTTTTCTTTCCTTGGTGAAGTTTTTTAGATACTTACAATCCTGACCAACAGGGGTCTGAGCCTGACTTTTGCCTCTGTGCCTCCAATGATGAATCCCACCCCCCAACCCCCACCACACATACTCCCATAGGGATGTTTCTTTTACCAGCTTCTAAGAAAGCATTACCAGATGTTTTCTTTCCTTATTGATACTTGATTTCTCAAGTGAGCAAGACAAACTTAGGAAACATGTCAATAATAGGCGAAAATAACAGAAGCTTCCATCAGAATGGGCCTTTGTGAATCGCTAAAACTATATCCGTTTATATCCCATCTCATTTAACATCACAACACGCACTGGACAATCTGAGCTTGGAATGACTTGCCCCTGGATAAAACAGCAAAACATGCCCGCAGTCCTGGCACAGGCCCCTTCATTGCTGCGTCTGCTCCATCCCGGTGCCTTCCGTAACCCTACAGGGATCAGTGTGGTCATGCTTTTGCTTGGCAAGAGCTGTTCATTTATATTGATAGGATCTTTCCCTTTGATTCAAAAAGTAAATACATTGGGGAGTTAGGAAACCGGAAAGAGAAAAATCCAAAACTCTTTGTAGAGAAAAACGCTTTTTCTAAATAAAGTGAAAGAAGAAAGAAAAAGGTATCACTTTCTGTAATGGCAGGATTTACTTACAATCCGGGGATTATATTGGTCCAGCCCCTAAAATGTGCGGTGGTGGCTGTCTCCCTTCTTTCAGAGTGGGCCTCTTGTTAACTTGAAAGACATCCTGTTTATGCCCACAGATCTAATAGCGTCACTCAAAAAGTAAGATGACATTCAAAGGAAGTGCTGTTAAACAACGTAAACCTCCCTCTCGTCCTTGTCTCTGACTGAAGTGAACAGAGTGCATTTTCTGTCCTGCTTGGTGGGGGCCCCTGTTTTGCTCAGGTCATAATTGTCAAGGCAAAAGGAGAGATGATGACGTTCAGTGATCTGGCCAAGGCAATCACCAGAGCTAAAGCAAAATGGCATGCTGTTTGCGAAGGGGGAGACCTCAGCATCGGTGAGCTTCACCTGATACTGTGGACACTGCGTCAGAGAGTAGAATGGCTGGAAAAGCAGTTCATAGGTGGTTGAAGTATGTGGCATGCATACTTCCTGAGGGTCCGGAGAAGCAGTGTAAGGTGGTGGGTGATATATGATTGGACAATTAGGGCACTGGCTCCTGAGAAGTAAATAGTGGCTTATTATTTATTAAAAAAAGAAGTGTGGGTAATAGGAAGTTGTAGTATAGGATTGCTTCTGGTGGCGGCGGGAGGGACCTATGCAAATCTAAGAAGTCCTTAGAGCTGATTTTTATTAAAACACTGAGTTTTTCATGACTCTACTTATAAGAAAGGCTTTATCCATGATTAGAATTAAAAACTAAAACTATGACTTGAAAGAACCATATTATATAATAGTAGCATGTTAGATATTGAAATTTAACTGAGTGCTTTTGTGTTTGAAAAAAATTAAATCTGAGATGAATTTCTCGGGTGAATAAAAATAGTCTATATTAACGACTCATGAAGTTCCCGTGTGTTTGCAGACTTATCAGACCACACCGAAAGCTAGAGCAAGTTCCTCAAATTAAAAGCCAAAAGCCAAAGCCATGGGCTTATCAATTGGATGTAAGATCCAATGGCAACAACAACCCCAAAGAAGCCCTCTCGTGTGTGTGTTATTGACTAGATAGCGCTGGAGGAGAGCATGGCTGCGGGGCATGTCCCACATCTGCTAGCTCCCGTCGTCACTGCCTTTTGTTGTGTGTGATCACAAGCATTGGTCAGATGACAAGTATTTACTGAGCACTTAACTCTGTGCTAAGCATAGAGAGCACAGTTGGGAAGAGGGTAGCCGAGTTCCTGTAATGGCACACTTGCTTTCCCTTGGTGCTAAGCAAGCATTTATAGGAGAACAGGAGGCCCTGGAGCCACCACATCCAGGCACTGAGGCTCATCTGAGAGTAACGGAGACTTTCGGAGGAAGGAATGTTGAAGGGATATCCAAAGGATGAGTAAGAACCACGAGGCATTATTTCTCACTACGCCCACTGGAATTAGGGGGACTTGTTCGCCTAGGACAATGTCTGCAAGAACTCTTCACTCTGAATCCAACAGCATGATCGTCTTTGCATGCTAGGCCTGGAGGACTCAGCCACTCCAAATGCAGAGAAAATGAAAGTTGGTCTATCTTGGTCAATGGTTTTATTTCATGTATATTTTGCCTAAGAGCTGGATCCTTCTAGGAGTTAAAGAAAATCATCAGATTTATTCTACACTCTGCTTAAAGTCACTGAGATAATCTTCGGTTCTCTTAAGTGAGGTCTAACACCACCACATCAGAATCATGTGGCAGGACTTATGCAATGCAGATGCCTGGACCCCACCTCAGGCAGACCAAGGCAGTCATCCCTTGAGAGTGATGTGCAGGGGACGACAGGTGTCTGTATTTTTAAAGAGCACTCACTAATCTAGACACCATGTGTTTCAGAGTCCAGAAAGAGTGCACTATCTACGTTGAGGCCAAATTTATCTCACTTTTTAATTTTAGTACAAAATCTGGTTTTGCACTTTTTTCCCCCCCTAAGACTTTAACGTTTGTTTTATTTACCAGTTTTGCTTTATGTACCATTCCTGGGCGGAAGTGACATTGGCTGCCACAGGTTTTTTCAAGTATTTTTATTTCTCGTGTTCCCATCTCTTACAGAGACACTAGAGGGCAGCATATGGCCACAGAACTTGCCATCTGGGATTCAGAAAGGGGAAAACCTCAACAGACTCCGCTTGTGCTGGGAAGCAGAATGTCTTTGTTTTCAGCCATCCTAGATCCCAGTTAGCCTTTATCACAATGAATGCTTTTGCCTGTGGTTCTATTTCATTATATAGACAGGACCTTCGTGTAGAAATTTGAAAGCTAGGAATCATGTATCCACACCTTGATTTCGACGGAAATGGTCAGAAATGGGCAGAAGTCAAATGCTCTTTCTCAGATAAAAAGAATTCTATGCAGGTGACCTTGTTCAAATTATCTTTCATGACACTGCCGGGCTCTCAGGGGGCTGTGTGCCTCTCCCTGCTGATACAGTTTTGCTTTCATCTTTATTTCCCAGCTGTTTGTGTTCTATTCCCTCTGGCTATTATGTACAAGATGCGACATGCAATGAAAAGAGCAGCATAAATTTGCTCTCTGCAATGAATTTCTAGCCCAGCTGTACATTCATTTAGGGACTTCTGAGTCCTGACCCCTTCAGAGAGAGAAAGGGTGGGTGTAATGCCTTCTTATGTTCCTTCTCTTTCTCCTACATTGGGCAACTGTCTATGTTTGTATGTGTGTGTATATGGGAAGGAGTTAATATTTATTAACTTCCTACTAAATGCTAAGTAGATTGAAATCAGGTTATGTTATTTAATCCTTCCAGTTACCCAGGGATTCAAATTGAGGTCAGTCTTACTCACTCATTAATCTAGTTCCAAAACAAAGATAGGGAGGAAGGATCATGTTTGGGCCCCATCTTCAATGGGTATCTTTCTTTAAAGCATTACTTGTTTATCCTTTAGCAAATTGAGGATAATTTACTTGATGGTGGGAAAAAAAGATGAAAGATTCCGAGGTGCATAGAATACAGTGCCCTCAGGTGGCCACTTAGCAAAACTACTTAAAAGTGAATAATTCATTTATAGGCTACATCTGGGTCAGCCCAGACAGCACCTCCCGCTTTGTTAGTTGTCTCAGACCCCAAATCCCTTGCCCCTAAGGACTTTGTGTGAGTTCCCCATCTATCTCCTATCTTGTCTCTCCCCTTCTTACCACCATGACCACAACCATTATCTGCTCCTTACCTTCCTTTGATCCCTCCCAAGCAATCACCTGCTATTGTGTATCTTGCTACCAAGCCACCAGAAGTTTCCCTAATCAGAGACACAGAGATAGCCCAACTGTGGCTTTCTTTTCAAATGCCTTCAATCTCTAAGTAAAGAGTTGGGGATCAACGCAGGCATACCTTGTTTTATTGCACTTCACAAATGTTGCATTTTTTACAAATTGAAGGTAAGAGCTTCCACCAGCAAAAAAAAAAAAAAAATTACGGTTGGCAGGCCTGGAACCGAACCTGCAATACGTCAGAGATATGTCTGTAGTGGTCTTGCTCTTATCATCAGGGCCTCACACTAGCCTCTATTCCCCAGCTACATACCGGCCCCGTCCTGAAAGGAACATCGCTGCCCCCCATTGTCTACCCTTGAAGTTGCTGTTGGATAAATCCTTGCCGCGGTGTGTCAGTGATCCAGATTCTGTTCCTGAGCCCTGAGCATGTTTGAACATGCCCAGCTGTGTCTGTTCATCCATAGGACGTTTGATAGCTCACTCGCCTTGGCCAGATGCTT